AATAATAAATTAAATATCCATATTTATTTTTTCAAGACTCTTAACCAATGCCTTAGGGCACTGGTTAAAAAAAGTCAAATATGAAAAAACAAGAAAAGAGAATTGGAATATAAAAAAATTTTATTATAATTTAGAAATATAGAATGAGTTACAGATAACAGTTTTTATATAAGCTCTATGATTTTTTTTTTAACAACAAAAAATTTATTAAGTAATCAAGTAAAAAGGGTATTTAAAACCATATAAGTAATTTATTGTAAATTTGCTCAAAAGCTTCTCTGCAGGTACCTGCAAGCACAGAAACAAAACCTTACCATCTAAAAATTACAGTTTGACACAAAAATAGAGCTATTTGCAATGTAAAAACAGATGATCAACATTCACTTCTGATGTACCACACAAGCTACATTAGGTTTTAGTGTAAATAACATTTGGAAATAAATCAATTACATCAATTGACATATCTAAATACAATCTACTTTATTAACCCTATTAAAACTAGAATTGAAGATTATTATTTGATTGGAAAATAATTGGTTTCAACGTATTTTTCAATAACTATTGATTTAGCTCTTGTAATTGAAATTTTTCTAGTTTTAAATTCAAGTTTTAAAACAATTATTTCTTATTGAATATGTTGTAAATGTATTGAATTAGAGAGTGTACTGATCATTATTCTATTTCATTATCTTAAAATCACCTTAACACTTCTCTCTCCTTCCTCCAATTTCTTTGTAAATGGTAACCAAAAAAACAAATTTTTCTCTTCTCTCTTTTCCTTTTTTCCCTAAAATCAAATATAGTCTTAGGTTGTGAAGCCTGGTCTTCATTTGAGGTTTTTGTAGTAAAAATGTGTTCTCTTTTTCTCTTCCCACTTTAGCCCCAACATGCAAGTACAGTAATAAGTAATGCTCTAAAGTTTCTTTCATTTGTTCATTTAAATTTTTGGACAACAATGATAGGCTTTGGGGGTTTGATGTACATATGCTTTGATTTCATATTGTTTGATGGATGTTAGAAATTTTTAAACTTAATCATTAATTAGAGTTATTGTTCTCTTTGAACTTAGACTTTATGATTTTGATATAAAAAGAAAAATAACTTTATAAAAAAATGAAAAAAAATGTTGTACTAATCAATCCAACGGGCCTCAGTCTAGGGATTCTGGCTTTCGAATTTCATGATTTTGCCTTGAAAAGGATTCTTAAGAAGCAAGGAGCCGACGTCACTTTTAGTCAAACAGTGTATATTGCCAGATCTTCCTTATCTCCCCTATAGCAATATCATTGATCAAATAACTGCATGATTATCGGATTTAGATATATGAACAAAAGTTGAAAAAATATTAAAAAAAAAAAACCCTTAAGGAAGCAGTATTGGTTTTGTGATATTTTCTTAGAGTATTGACCAAACTAAAAAGCCACCATTTTTACACCTGACCCTTGAGGTCTGCTGGCAAAAGTCAGCCAGTGCATTTTCCTTCCTTTGAACCCGCCCCTCGCAAGATATGTTAAAAAAAAAAAAATATTAAAAAAAAAAAACCCTTAAGGAAGCAGTATTGGTTTTGTGATATTTTCTTAGAGTATTGACCAAACTAAAAAGCCACCATTTTCTTTGGAAATTGTCGTTTTCAAAATCAATTAAGCATCATGTATGCGACTTTTCGCAGCAGATCATGAG